ACACATTGTAACTGTGAGCCATGATTCTGGGGCTGAGTTCTGCTCTCCTTGAAATGTGATGAAATCTGCCTATTGCCAAGATCCTTTGTAGAAATCTCTTCCATTTGCACCAGCTGACATCATAAGAAGTTTGCAAAAGAAATAAATATCTTCTACCTGATGACATTAGAGTTGCTCCTCTGTGTGTTTGCATTTGACCTGATTGGAATTACTTGAGTTTTCAAGTTGTGACCTTCCCACATGTTAACTGGCAGAGCTTGAGCAGCCATCTTGGCAGACATGCAGTGTTTGCTAAGGCAGAAGACAAAGGGTTTTTTCATCCATTATTAATTGATGTTACTCTTTTCAGCAGACCAAACATGATTCTACTATACAGCTGCCAAAATTATTCTAGACCCAAAAAAGAAGAATAAGTTGTTCATGTTCAAGTATTTCTTATTAGTTACCTAACTTAGCAAATATTTCCTTCAGCTTTTCAGCCTGATTTTGGGGGCCTATTTATATACTAATCGGTATATAGCAGTTGGATTTCTTTATGAGCAGTGCTCCCTGCCATTTTGATATTAGTGTGGCCAACTCTAAGAAAGCGGTGTTATTCCAAAAGAATGTGAGAATTTTGCCAAAAGAGAAAATAACCCCTAAAACCATAATGCATGATCCATAGGATGCGAGGTTGCAGACTAGGAATTGTGTGGTATTGCGTTGGTGTCCGACAGGTATTATTGGATTTTCATTTTTTCTTCCTCTCTCCCCTTCACCTCCATGTCCCTGTAATTTGTAGGTATCCAATTGGTTTGGCAACAAACGAATCAGGTACAAGAAGAATATCGGCAAGTTTCAGGAAGAAGCCAACCTCTATGCTGCAAAGACGGCCGTGACAGCTGCACACGCAGTAGCAGCAGCTGTGCAGAACAACCAGACCAATTCGCCCACCACACCAAATTCCGGTGCGTACTAGGGGCTTGCTCCCCAGCTGGCCCAGGCAGCCTTATGCCACAATGCCCTGTCCCACAGGCCAGGAAACAAGAGCCATACTGAGGACAGAGTGGACTTAAAAAGGAAGATTTATATTCAAATGTAGGCTTGTTCTTGAGATGGGTGAATGAGTGGAAGGCCAGAGCCTGTAAACCCACTCTTCACAGTGAATGCCACTCACTAGTAGATGATGGAACTTTTACACTTAGTAGTGGCTTTCAGTTCAGCAATTAGGCAGAGTGCTCTCACTCATGACTATTTTAGCTATCTCTTTCCAGTTATCACTTTAGGGTCAGTAGTGGTCTGTGGAGAGTGAAATAGCAGAAGTGAGAAATGCAGCAGTTGCTGTGCATGAGGAAGCTGGAATGCTGGAGGGAAGTGCAGCGGTGCTTTCTGCCCAGCGCCTCTGTCCTTTCTCTGCCTTTCGGCAACATTGTCTGCGCAGGACTGACGGCATGCTCAGCAGGTGGCTAACTGTGAGGGTTATGGTGCTTAATACACGCATGCAAGATTCTTGGATCCTTGTCCGGTACATTTTGGCTGCATTTTATGTGACATTTGTGAGGGGGTTAGAAATACTTTAAAGTTTCGGGGAACTTGAATAACAATGAAAGATGTGCAGCTAGTCCAAACAGATGGACTTGAGTAGCAATTCCAGGGACTTTTCTGAGAAGGTCTCTTAAATATATCTTTAGAAGTTCAGAAAATAGGGGATTCTTTGTTTGTTTTGTCTTGTCTCCTCGCCCCCCAGTTCTTTTTAATGGCACATAAAAACAGGTGAAAGGAGAGGGAGGTATATGCATAGCTAAGAAAGAGTTCCTGGAAAAGTCTCTTCTCTGGGTGGCTGTCCACCGTGACAGTTAGCCTTGTTGACAGGCTCGTGTCATGACTAAATCCTGCAGATCAGTGGAAACAAGGGGAAGGGTCCAGGCCAGCTGCTGGGTGTTTTGGTTTATTTTTTCTTTTTAATTTATTTTGATTTGTCTCTTCATTTTTGGTTTTGTTTTTTAAGTTTGGGCTTCCCCATTGATGGGACTTCTAGATGTAGAGTGACTCACAGGACCCAACTCTGTGGAGTTACTCTCCATCCTCTTAGATCTGGAAATGCTTTATGTTACGCACAGCCTTTCCCTTCTGTACTTTTTCTCCTCTCCCTGCCTCTAGGTCTTTGAGGATTATGTGTGTAGCTCTCTGTTATTCAGCTACTTAACTCTTTCCTTTCCAGGTTCTTCTGGTTCTTTTAACCTCCCAAATTCTGGGGACATGTTCATGAACATGCAGAGTCTGAATGGGGATTCTTACCAAGGGTCCCAAGTCGGAGCCAATGTGCAATCACAGGTAGGAGAGATGCCCCAGAGGGGCCTTTCTAGCAGGGTAGGGTTTGGGCTCAAAACTCCTTCCTCTGACCCTATGGAAGTGGTCTACACATCCATGCAGAACCTGTGCTGGGTGCTTCCAAACGGGACCCGTCTGCCCCACCATTTAATTTAATGAGAAGTCAAGCGAACAGTGACTTGTGATGATTCAAACCTGATAAACTTTGTGAATGCATTCGGCTCTGGCTTGAGCTCATGGAGAGGGGTTGGGTGCATCTTACTTTTGTCACAAAATAGAACAGAAAAATTGAGTGTTCCAGTGTGTATATGGTTTAAGAACATGTTGCTGTTTCATTTCTTAAGTCAGAGTACAAAATCTGAGTTCTTAAATTATAACTTTATAATTTCTACTCTTTTCTTGTCCTCTTAATTGAGAACAGAACTACTCATATAGTTTTTATACATTTAGATGTGTGTGTATGAGACACAGAGAAAGTGAGAGAGAGAGTTGAGATAATTCCATATACACAATTCTAAGTAGGTTTTCACCCACAGCCACATCCATTTGGTTGCTGTAGATGGAAAGTTGCATTGCCATGAAGATGTTATTGTTTGGCTGGCATGAAAAACAAAGATTTGTGAGTTTAAATATGCAAAGAATGGTTGAAATTCTGCCAGTCACATTTGATTGATAAATCTGTCTTTCATTGAAGATGTTAAACCCTTGTGGCACACATAATTCAAATTATTTCCTTTTGTAAGTGATGATGTTTTAATAGATTTGGGATGATGAATTTTGTTTTCTCTCACCTAGGTGGATACCCTCCGTCATGTTATCAATCAGACGGGAGGCTACAGTGATGGCCTTGGAGGAAATTCACTGTACAGTCCACATAATTTAAATGTGAGTACTCTGGGGAGCCAGCTGTAGGAGCACAGTGTCAGGTAAACAGTGACTAATAAAGAAATTAATAGCCATTTGACCTGGCTTCTCATCTTATTGGCAGGTAGGGAAGGCAGCATCTTTGCTGCACGTTTATTTTAAGAACCTAAATGCTTAATGCCAGCTGGATACCCTTAGAAGTCGTCATAGATGCCCAGAAGTGGCTGGTGTCCTGTCATCAGCAGGGACTTAAGCATCAGCCCATTAAGATGCCATTTCCTACCATCAGTGCTGTGTTCCAGGGAGACGGTAGAAAACAGGTCATTTATCTTAGAATCAGGCAGCAGGAAAAATTCCGAAGCAGAACTCAGGTGAAGGTGGTAAGTTTGGAGACTCCCAGGCAGACCAACAAACCAAGCTAAACAAATAATTCTGTTATTAAAAGCATCTTGCTATATTGTCAATGTGGGATGCAAAACATATTTGACAACTTTAATTATGGAGGAAATGATTTTAACTTCTGTAACTACTTCACTACAACTTTACCTTTCCCTCCACTGACATGGATGGAAAATGGCAAAACACACAGCTCTGGAAAAGGGGAAGGAGGCAGGGAGGCAGGCCATCGTGGTGGTGCTGCGGGGTGTGGTGGATGGAGTCTGGGGTTCTACACTTAGGAAGGAAATTAACTGCCCAACTCACGGTAGTAGACTCAGAAAGAAAATGGGCAAAATTCTCCCTTTTTAGGGACTTGGCTTGCTATGAGAGTAAATATTAATGATTTAAAAAGTGATTGAGGATGTTCAATTGTAAAGGGAAAAAAGGACCATTAAATACTCAAATCTTTTACATTTGAAATGTCAAATCTTTCTTTTTGGGCTTATAAATAACTCATAATAACCCACAACAAACCATATAAAAAGCCTTTTAGTTGCATTTCTCCTTTTTCATTTAAGTGTTTTGAAATGCTTCAGAGAATGTGCGATATCCTTATCAACATGATAAAATATGAAACTGTGATTGCCTGCAGCATTTTACAGACATGAATTCCATCTTCACTGATGAGGCTTGATAAGGCGCTGTTGTATAATACAGTGCATAATCTCAAACCACCAGAGTAAGGATTAATTTATTTTGAAAAAAAAAGAATGCTTGCTGACAACCTCTCCTCCAGCTGCCACGCTGGGTAAAAATATTGTACATTTGTTGTTTATAAATTTGGATAAAAGAGGAATGATGTTTACTTCAGATGGAATATCTTTAGACTTGTATCTGTGTGAGAGTTTTTCTTTTCCTGAGTAGATTTTCATACCTGAGGGGGGAAACAGCTTACCTTTTAGATAGAGAAGAGGATTTCTGAGAGTCCACCGAACACACACGGGCATGTCATTAGCCAGCCTGGCATAACAGAGGCTTTAGAACAATACCACCGTAGGTTTTTTTTTTTTTTTTAAATATTGTTTCCTTTTGTTTTCCTTAACCTGAATTTGGTATGCCCCAAGCCTGGAAAATCCTCTTCCGTTAGGCTCTGGTCACCTCTGTGGGGTTGTTAGGTTTTTCCCTCCCTTTCTGTGGGTCATGGAGGTAGAAAAGGTGCTTTGCCTGCCGAACTCTGCAGTGAATCAGAAGACAGGGAGTTCTCCAGGAACTGTGATCACAGGAGAAGAAACAATGGCTGCCACATGCTCATCTAGGAGCTATATCCGGGCTGGGCAGGGAATCTAGACAGAGTTCTCAGCAGCCTGGCAGCCCAGGCCTGAAAGAGGACATTTCGGATGGACTTGCAGAGGAAACTGCAGGTAGATGTGAGGGAGGCAGGAGGCACCTTATGATCCACCCTGACATTGGTGTGGGATTCCGGGTCTGGGGGCAGCACGCAGGCAGAGGGTGGTTGGTGCTGCAGGCACTGGGAGCCAGCTCACCCTCGCCTCCTCTCCAGAAAGGCCTGCCCCGTCACTTCCACTCAGTGTTCCCCAACTCACGAGGCTGGCACCTCCCTCTTCTTGACTGACATAAAAATATGTAGCGACAAGCTGTCTGCCACAGCAGAAATCTGATCAGACATTGATTTCAGCAATTGCCACTATAGGCCAAGACATAAGGCAAATTTGTTTCTGAGTACAGTTATTGCTGCTGCGGGTCTGAGGCAGGAAGGGCCAGCAGCATGTGGAAGGCAGGAGCAACATCCCAAATAGCAGCCTCGGCCACAGATAATTGGAATACAGATTTTAACAGTGTGTGCTGCTCCGCGGCTCATGCATTTTCATTCTGGAAGATCCTGTTTGGAGGGAAATTCTGGCCTTCACTTTCTAAGGGTTACAGTAGCTGGCTATCAGGCATGTATGGAAAAAGGGTGGGCAACTGCTTCTCTGTGGAAATGATGATTAAGCCGGGGTGAAGTTTAGACTTCATGGAGCCCAGGCTTTTGCTGAGGCATTGCATTGAGCTTCTCCACTGCTCCCTTCTTAAGAGATTCTTTTTGAGACACTGTAGTTTTACCAGCAGATCAAAGGCCAAGCTTGGTGCCAGCATGGGCCTCGCTGAAGCCCTTCTTCGGCATGTTGATTTATTGCCAAGTCTTTACTTGATGGGATGGATTTGTTTTACATGCATTTAATCCTACTTTAACACATGCTGCCAACTCCTGCCACAGTGGGTTTAGAAAATACATTTTGCTAATGCATCTCTGCTCTCATGTTGTCATCTGGGTGTTTTAAATTGGGGAGTAGAATTAATATGTAGACGTGCACCCGTTGAACTGTATTTCTCCTTTCAGGCTAATGGAGGCTGGCAGGACGCAACAACTCCATCTTCTGTGACTTCTCCTACAGAAGGCCCAGGAAGTGTGCACTCGGATACCTCTAACTAATCTCTGGCCACACTTTTCCCTGAGCTGACATGCCTTGATAAGTGCATTCAGAGCAATAGGAGGAAAAGGAAAGCGTTTTTGTAGCCCACCATCTACAGCTTTACTGTAAAACCTTGTCTTATTAGAGAACTTGGTAAATCTGTTTTTTAAGGAATCATAATCATTTGTATTTATACTTAAAAACACACAATGTTAAAAAAAAAAAAAAAAGCACTTTATCCAATTAGGCCAAGATTTAACATTGTTGACAGTCCTGTAGCTATTTTATCATAATTTATTACCAATATTTTACATTAATGGTTTCACAGTTGCCAATTACTTGGCCTTAAGGGTAAAAAGTACAATATACACTAAACCTCAATCGTTAAAGCAGATGCAAAAATTCACCTCACCTAAATTGAACTTCTTGCATATTTCCATTACTGACTTGGATTGTCTTACTTTCATATCACTAATGGAGTTGGAATAAAGAGCTGTTTGGCTATCCCTGTTAATGATGGTTGTGTTTAAGAATCTTCCTCGTCACGTTTGTGTTCAGATCTCTTATGTTATAATTAGATCAGAGACTGGTAGCATCGTTTCTCTCTCTGAAAGCACCAGTGCCCAGAGTCTGCTCGGTAATAAAATTATGGATCCAGATTGTTCTGAGAGACGAAGATACTTGCTGCTGATAGAGGTGAAAACGAGATCGATCCGTCTGGGGTTTTACGGTGTGCACTGGGTGCTGCATAGACTTGTCAAGGTTTGCTACGTCCTCTGGGCATCCGCAAAAGGCCCTGCTCTCTGGAGTGTTGTATATAGTGTAGCAAAAGAGTATTTATACATCCCACCAATCAAAACACAGCTTTATTACCTCATGCGAACTCATACAAACCAATAGAATTTCAACATGTTCTGTAGCTTAGAGTGCTCACTTACTACCTCTGAACAATACTCACGCTGTAGTTTGTCTCTTTCTTATCTTTTTGCATCTTGTAATTAACTCTTTGTTTCCCTTCATAAAATGTAATGTACATTGTAATCTTTTAAAAGAAAAATCAGGGTTGCATTTGCAACTTTTAAAAAACCGAGAGTGGAAACATTGGGTCTTAATTCAACACAGGATCAGTAAAACTGTTGTAAATACTGAGAAACATTTTGAATGTTCTTCATCTTACTACTAATCCATGCAAAAAAAAAAAAAAAAGCAGCGACTAATTGTGATGCATTCAGATTTCAGTATTCAGTACTGTATATTTCACCCTGTGTAATGGGGCCCCCTCTCCTTTCTCTTTTTGTATTGTATGCGATTCTGAAACTGATTGAGTCATGAAAATAATTTGTGGCGGTGATTCTAATGTATTAAAAACGTTTCGTGTTCCTTTCTAACTGGATTACACCCTGGATTGAAAAAGTCTTCCTCGTGGTAGTTACATGTAGTTTCAAACATGAATAAACTTTTTGCTTTCATGATTAAATGTTGATGCAGTTTCTTAATTCACTATTTGAGCCAGCCAAGTGCAGGGAGAGGAGAAAGTGCACCTAGCACCAGGCCTGGGAGTGTGACTGCCTGCCTGTCGGAGATGACTCTGAGATGATGGTGGGGCTGGGAGGGAAGGAGCAGCTGCTGTTGAGTGTGCAGGCATCGTGCCACCTACTGAACCATCGCTGGGAGTCCTCACTTGATCCTGATGTGCTCAGTAACACCCCAAGGAAAACTCCGTATTCATAGATTAGGAAACCAAAGCTCAGAAAATTTAAGCGAATGCCAAAAGATCACAGACCTAGGACAGCAAGGCGTCACACCTTGAACTCAGGTCTCTCTGCCCTCAGCTCACACTCTCCTGACCTAGTGATGCCTTTGGCACTTGTTAGATGGATTTTTTTTTTTTTTTTTTTTTTTGAGATGGGGTCTCACGCTCTCACCCAGGCTAGAGTGTAGTGATGCGATCTTGACTCACTGCAGCATAAAACTCCTGGGCTCAAGTGATCCTCCTGCCTCAGCTTCCTGAGTGGCTAGGACTACAGGTATATACCACCATGCCTGGCTAATTTTTCTTTTTTGTAGAGACATGGCTTGATATGTTGCCTAGGCTGGTCTCAAACTACTGGCCTCAGGCAATCCTCTGACCTTGGCCTCCTGGAGCTCTGAGATTACAGGTGTGAGCCACTGGACCCCACTGAATTTTTTTTTTAAGTTATTTTTTTTTTAGAGATGGGTTCTGACTGTGTTGTCCAGGCTGGTCTTGAACTTCTGGGCTCGAGCAATCCTCCAGCCTTGGCTTCCCAAAGTGTGGGATTACCGGTGTGAGCCACTGCGTCTGGCACACATTTGCTTCTTCACCTTTAACTTCTTTAACTACAGTTAAAGACTAAGGAAAGTTTGGAAAGAATGGGCCTCAGATGCCATTGAAAAAACAATCTGTGCAATATTCAACATACCTTTTTAAACTCTAAATTTGTAATCTTGTAAGACCAATTAAAAATCTTTTAACTGGATTTAATGTTTGTTTTCTTCAAATTGTTAGAAATTCCATATGTTTACATATACATCTGTTGCTAATATCTAAATCTTTATAATAAAAGAGGTCAATGGCAGGTAATTGGCCTGTTTACTATATCTCAAGGAAACTGACTCACAGGAAATCAGATTAATGTTAATTAGTTGCAGCAAATTGTCTATGATAAATACAACTGTTTGACTCTTTCAGTTGGTAAAGCCAGGCAAAACAAGGTCTAGGGCCACCATTCCCATTAATCTCCAGGCAGTTACACTGTGAGGGTAAACTTTATAAAATAGATTGCCCTCCAAAGCCATCCTCCCTCACTTGGTGCTCAGCCTGCCTGTAGGAATTGCTCCCATGGCTAAATAGTTATTTGCATGATTCAATTAGCTTGCGGGTCAGCCTTTCTCATCTTTGTAAATAAAACAATATATGCTATGTGGTTTTGCAAAAATATACTGTGGGAACATAATACGTAGGCGCACCCAAATTCATCTTCAACATCCCAAAGCAGACACTTCCTTGCAACCGCCTTGAGTCTCACCTTGGACCAGTGTGTGGAGAGAAGCACAGGCCAGTGCTTAGAGGAGATTCCCACGTTGACTAGCAACCCCTGAGGGAATTATGGGCGTCTCCGTTATCCTAAGGAGGCCGAAATGAAAATAACAATGCTCTTCCTATGTGCTGTGTTAGGAAGCATGTGTGCACGTTTTCTCTCTTCACTCCTCACCACCTCTCTGGGAGGACAGAAGCATCCTCACTTCATAGGTGAGGAAACTGGGCCACCACACAGGCCCTCTGGCCCAGCCTCTGGTGTCCCCTGGGGTTTGTAAAGCGCTCCACACATGGAGACTGTGCGGGCATGTCTCACTCCAAACTGGGTGAAATCAATCGTTGATTTTAATAGATTTTCACCAGGTACGTTTTCTGTGTCAAGTGGTGGGTTAGAGGCTGGACTCAGAGATGAGTAAAACCAGACCCCATGCCCTGACCTAGCCCTTCTTGCTCAAGAAGCCAACACTTAGAGCTTCGGAAAGCCTGGGGGGCTTCTGAGCCCAGGGACTAGAGAAGCGGGGGTCCCAAAACCCATTACAGGATCAAGGAGAATAACAACAGGAAACTGCCAGAAATACCCAGTCACGGGCGAAGGGGCCTGTCCACATACCGCTTGATGCACAGGAACCCGTGTGCTTACTTGAGAGTACGTGTGTATTCACAAGCATGTGGGGCCCAAGGGCCTGTGCAGCTGTCCACGTGGGGATGGGTACCAGGCTTCTGCTTGGGGTGCACAAGTGGTGTGAGAGTCTCTTAAGTCTATTGGACCAGGTGACCTTGCAAACCAAGTTAGGGCTGTTCTGTAGCCCCCAATCAAAACAACGTCCATGTGCCATTCCCTGGCCAGAAGTGGGGGTGGGAAGGGGCGGCATTCCAGAGAAGTGAAGAAGAAACGTTGGGCCGAGTCTCCCAGGCGGGGTGAAATGTGTGCTGGCGCCAGGAGAAAGGGTCCTCCCCTCTGGGCCGGCCCCCCACCAGGCACCTCCCACACAGTATCTCACTTAATGCCTGTGGAACCCCACGAGGGGTGCTATTATCTCATTTTCCCATGGGATTCTGGGGCTCAAAGAAGCAACACCACGTGTCCAGGACTGGGGTTTGCCCTGTGAAGTCCCCATGTGCCACATTCAGCAGCCACCAGTATCAGACAGGCTGTGGTGAACTTGGGCCATCAGGCCTCCAGTATGAGATCCCGTCGGGGGAGTGGTGACCAGGGAAATCGTCCCTGCTTGTGGCTTTCCTGCCCATGCCTCAGTTGCCTGGGCCACCTGAGTGTGGGTGTCCTGTGGGGTGTGTGTGTGTGTGTGTGTGTATGTGTGTGTGTGTGGTGCTATCTGTGTCCACGGATCATGGGGTTGGAGGTGAGAAACAGGAAGACCCCCTTTTCTCTGGCTGTGCTGGACTGGGCCTGGCACTAATGGGGGCAAACAGAATAGCTCCCTGGGAGGGCAGCTGTCACAGTGAAGGTTCTGGAGCCCAGCAGCATGGGTTTGAATCCTGGCTGTGCCTCCTACCAGCTGAAGTTCTGAGTGCGGGCCTGGGCACGTTCTCCACGTGTACTTTACCATGGGTAGAAATCTGCCTGGGCTTTGGTGTGCACCCGTGCCCCCATGGGTGTCTTCCCAAGTCCCAGGCTCTGCCCTGCTCAGCTCTGGCCCCAGTCTCCTTAGTTCTCCTGGCCATACAACCAGCTCTGGGTTTGAACAGATCTTACCCCCAGGTTCTAGAGTCCAACAGATGTGGTTTTTTGTTTGTTTGTTTGTTTTGAGACAGAGTCTCCCTCTTGTCTAGGCTGGAGTGCAGTGATGTGATCTCAACTCATTACAACCTCCACCTCCCAAGTTCAAGCGATTCTCCTGTCTCAGCCTCCTGAGTAGCTGGGACTACAGGCTCCTGCCACCACACCTGGCTAATTTTTTGTATTTTTAGTAGAGACAGGGTTTCACCATGTTGGCCAGGCTGGTCTCGAACTCCTGACCTCAAGCAATCCACCCGCCTCGGCCTCCCAAAGTGCTGAGATTACAGGCATGAGCCACCGCGCCCAGCCCAGATGTGGATTTGAATCCTAGCTTCGCGTCCTACCAGCTGTGTAATCTTGAGCAAGAGGCTTAAGGAAGGAGCCTGGCCCCTCATTCCCTGTTCTTGGAATGTCCTTCTGTACCCTCTCCCCTGGTGAACGCCTGTCCTTCAAGGCCAAGCCCAGATCACTGTGCCCTCCAGCGGAGCTCAGCCCTGCCATTCCCCTTGTGCAGCACTTTTCATCCCTACTGGACATCCCAGCAAAGGCCCTGCAGGGTTGGGAAAGTGAGGAGCTGCGGGGGAGGGAGCAGGGGTCATGGGGAAGGGTACACCAGAGAAGCCACAGAGGCAGGAGGCAGGAGATGCTTGCTCTTTAGCTGGTCCCAGACTCCCTCTTGAAATGCTCGTAGCGGCCTCCCACAGAAGGTGCGATTATCATCTCCATTTCACATTTCACAGATGGGGAGACTGAAGCCACTTGGCCAAATACACACAGAGCCAGAACGTCAGTCTGGAGCCTAAACTCACATTTTTTTCTTTTTTTGAGATGGAGTTTCACTCTTGTTTCCTAGACTGGAGTACAATGACGTGATCTCAGCTCACTGCAACCTCCACCTCTCAGGTTCTAGCGATTCTCCTGCCCTCAGCCTCCTTAGTAGTTGGGATTACAGGCACGTGCCACCACATCCGACTAATATAGTATTTTGAGTAGAGATGGGGTTTCACCATGTTGGTCAGGCTGGTCTTGAACTCCTGACCTCAAGTGATCCGCCTGCCTCAGCCTCCCAAAGTGCTGGGATTACAGGTGTGAGCCACTACGCCTGGCCAACTCACATTCTTATTCCTTTGTGCCTCCGCTATCTTGTCAGTGTCTCTTTCTCATCATGCTGGGTCTGCAGTTTCACTATGAGCCTTAGGCGGGGCAGAAAGGAGAAGGGGAAGAATGCCGGTCTCCTCCCAACACCCCATCAGAGCCATTGGTGCCTCTCCCCAGCAGCTGAGCATCCCAGAGACACCCTCAGGAAGGCTGCTGTGTCCACAGATGCTTCTGGCCAATAATAGGCCTGCAACTGGTTCCTGCTGAGCCCGGCGACCCAGCCCATGGACAACCAGCACAACCACTCCCAGCCCGATGACTTGGCTGTGGCAGACTCAGCCATGTGCAGGTGGCCTGCTTCCATCTGGGCGCCACCCAATGTACTACCAGGAGCCACACCTCACGGCCAAGTGGATACAGCCCCTTCACAGAGGCAAAGAATGGATGCCCGGGGGCAGTGTGACCTCACAGCTAGGAAGCACCGTGGCTTAACGCTGATGAATGTGCGCTCTTGAGTGAAACTACCCAGGTTTGAATCCAGGCCCTGCCTCCTATCAGCTGTGTGTCCTTGGGCAAGTCATGT